CAATAAGAGCAAAGAGAAACAAGTTGGTCCAATGAGAATGTAGAAGAAAAGATCGTTATTTTTTGACCTACCATATTGGGAGATGAGTCCTCATCAGCTTCTGTTTACTACATTCATTCAATAGATTACTTTTTTTTTTTTTTAATTTGTACTGAGTTATGATTTTTCCCTTATTATTTGACTAGAGGAGTTAAATTTGCATCATAACTTGAATGTTATACATATTAAAAAAAATATTTGACTAAAAGAGTTGGATTTACGTCATAACTTGAATGCCATACATATTGAGAAAAATATTTGACTAAAGGAGTTAGATTTGCATCATAACTTAAATGTCATGCATATTACGAAAAATATTTATGAGAGTCTCATTGGCACTCTCTTGGATATAAATGGAAAACCAAAAAGATGCACTTGAATCTCGTAGAGATTTAGAGCATATGGGTATAAGAAAAGAATTACATCCACAAGAAAAAGGTAATCGGTTTTACCTTCCTGCAGCACCTCATTCGCTGTCGAAGAGCGAGAAACAATTAGGCTCCGTTTATTTCACCGATTTAAGTTTAGAATTTGAGTTTTGCTACAGTAAAAAACTCTCAGAAATAGTCACATCTAACTTTTTTACTACAGTAAAAAGTTCTCACATAAAATCACATATAAACTCGAATTAAAAACTCGAATCAGCAAACTAAACGGGCCCTAATTTTGCAAAAGGTTATTTGATTTGAAATTGCCTGATGGTTGTGGCTCAAACATGAGGAAATATTGTTGAGAAAAGTGTATATGTGTGTTGTCTCACAATGAAAAGTGGATGAGAATGTGAAATGGTTTATATACATAGAAAGACTCAAGATTTAATAGGTTAAGTTGGGTTCTTGAAGTGTGTTGGGTCAATTTTACATGTGGTGTCTCCCTAACGAGTAGTATTAGAGTGATCACACTCAGTTACAGTTCTCACGTTGCCCCCCGTGGAGAGTTGGTGTTCCCGCAAGTATGCGGATGGTGGAGCATTTAGATATAGAAGGACCCAAGACCTAATAGATTAATCTTTTTGGTCAAGTTAAACTCCTAAAATGTGTTAGGCCAGTTTCACATATGATGTCTTCCTAATAAATGTGTATCTATGGATGAGTGAAAGCTTATAGGTCTTAAATCTGATGATTGTCTCATCCTGATGCAACAATTATTGTCAGTGGCTATAAGAGGACTTCTCCCAGATAAAGTACGGACTGCAATATTTCGATTTTGTGCTCCTTTTTTAATGGAATATGTCAACGTGTGGTTGATAAAAATAAAATCGAAACATTGGAAAATCATATTTTTGAAACAATTTGCATGTTGGAGAAATACTTCCCTCCTAAATTTTTTTTTTTCATATTATGACTCACTTGACTATTCATCTAACACGAGAAGTTTGACTGTGTAGGCCTGTGCAATATCGATGGATGTATCCTTTTTAGAGGTATTGTGACTTACTCAATGATATTTTACGTATTATTTTGCTATTTCTTTGCTAAGTTGATTAATACAAGGGTGAATTTTTTTTTTCTAAATAGATTTATGAAAGTACTCAAGGGTTATGTAAGGAACCGTTCACGACCAGAAGGATGCAAAGCAGAATGCTATAATGTATGAGATTCTGCAAATAAATTACGAAACCGTTAACTATTTTAAATGGGGATAAAGAGTGTAATTACGGGAGTTTAAACTCAAAATTTCCTGCTCTGATACTATATTAATTTACCAATTCATCCCAAAAACTTAAGCTGTTAGGAAGTAGGTCAATAATAATTTTTATATTTCAATTTAAATAGGCTAAAGGGTTAGTCAACCTTCATGAAGGAATGAGTCAATTTCAACGAGATCCATTTATTTTGGCATCACAAGCAAAAACAAGTATTTTATTCCAGAGAAAATGATACGTCGAGTTGGTATGTTGTGCTGAAGGCACCACCACCAAGAGGCTTTCATGATCTTGACGCATTTGATCATGAGAGTGCTTATATTACATATGCACCATAGGATGCATCTCAACTCAATAGCGACAATGTGGAAGACGACGTCGTACGTGAGGGAGGATTGCCAGGGCAGTTTAATTTAATCATCTCATGAGAACTTTTTTATTTCTTATTTTTAACAAAATATGAGAATTTTTCATATATCTATGAACATTTTTTGAGGATGATCTCTAACACAACTGACATTTGTGTTTAGTAAAAACTTAAAAAATTGATTCTTAAAGAATTTTTGAAAAATTTAAGGCTAAAATCGGCTGCTTCTGATTTTAGATTGTGCGGTAATCCGTGACTAACAATTAATAAAACTTTCAAATATACCCTTTATACCCCTGCTGAATGAAAAAAAATCCCATATCCAAAATTTCCTCTTCTCAATCTCCTGTTTCTCAAACCCCTCTCTCTATTCTCTCGTCGGTCTCCCCATCTCTCTCTTCGTACCATATCTATTTTGGTCATCTTAACTATCCACATCAATTCAACATCACAATTTATCAAACGTTATTATATTACTTTTGAAACCAATAACACTTGTATAATTACAGTTTACTAAACACTAAACTATATTTTATAACAACTGTTTTTTCTTTCAGCACAGCTAAAAATAATTTTTCTAAAACCTATAGTACTACTAAACTGGTTGTCCCTCTAAACTCGTCCTCTCCTTTGTCAAGAACAACTCTATCCCCAACTTTGAGTCCTTTAGAAAACACAAATTTGAGGCTTTGAGCCATTCTTCAGCGTAGAGATAAGACTGGCTCCTTGCATAATAATTGACCCCATCAATTGGATAGTACTCAACTGGCGACATCAAGTACAAAAATTCCCAGAAATACCCTAGTCGGTAGGCAACCCATAGCTGCTGCACCATCTTGTTGGTGTGGCCTTGCCCAAGTGGCGGCAACACCGGCAACCAGTCCGTCGGAACTGGAAAGCTGTTTTTGAGGTCGGTCTCGGATAGAGTCTTCGCTAGTACTTCAACCATTGTTGATTATTTTTGGTGATCTTGCCCTTGTTAGAAAAATCAATCGGTTACGCAGCGGAATTTTAATTTTTTTTTAATTACTAAAAACAAACTCAAGTTGCCATGAACAATAAATTATACCTAAATAATTCTTTCCTTTTGTTTCACAAACTGTTGTGTTGTGTGTGTGAGTTCAAACTCAGCAATCTTGTCTACACCACTAAAGAGCAATGAAGAGTTAACTGTTAAAAAGTGAACAATTAATTTTCTACTCTCAGATGCTTTCAAGCAATTTAAAAATAAATGAGGATTCCGGATTTCTATTTATAATAGCGGTAGGAGGAAATTGAGACTTATGAGGAATGAGACTTCTAATCAGATTGGATATTAAGAGAGAATTTTTCTCTTTTTCTTATCTTATAATAATTTACAAATCATTATAAATATTATTAGGGTAATTTGTACATGGTCGTCAAATTCTTTAGTAAGTGACAGTTTAGTCTTAATCTATCTTTTTAATAAAACGATTCCTAACCTTTTTAAAATGTGACAGTTTGGTCATTTTTGTCAAATTCTGTTAAATTTTTAACAAAACATGTCATGTGACTCATCACATGACTATTTTTTCAGTAAAATGACTTAAATGCCCCCATTAGAAAAACCTTCTTCTTCATCTTATTCTTATTCTTCTTCTTCTTTTTTCCCCAAATTTCATCTCTAAATCCAACAAATCGAAGCTGTAAATCCCTCTTTCATCTTTAAATTTCACCATCTTCCTTCTTTCTCACACATATAAGCAGCTTTTCCCCTACTTTCTTGCAGATCAACAATATCAGAGAAAGATGCCGGAAACCAAATTACTTGGAGATCAGAGAAAGACGCTGGAAACCAAATCACAACAAAAAATTACAAAACAATCCACCAAAGTCTCATATCTCAAAAATTGTAAAAAAATTCACCAAAGCAATCCACCAAAAAATCTACAGCCTTTTCCTCACAAATAATCCAACAAATAGTCTACAAGAACCAAATCACAACAAAAAATTCACCGAAACAATCCAACAAATAATCTACTGGCCTTTTCTCCCAGCGGTGGTTCACGGTGGCGGCGGAGGAGGTGGTTCTCCTGGTTCACGAAGTCGGCGAGATCTCTTACTGAATCTCTTATCGTTGCTCGACTTCTCCGGCGGTGGCATCATTGAGTTTAGATCAAGCGTCGTCGTCAGGATCGGCTGAATCTAGTTCACAGAGGTGCGACAAGGTCTGGTTTGCAGAGCTGATGAGCACTCTGTTGGACTGGTTCGAGGTTCCTGCCGGAGAAGATCGCAGATCGTCCACTATCAGATGTGCGAGCAGACATTGAGGTCGCCACCGGAGAAGGTACCGACGAACACGAAGCTTCACCTGTCGGAGATCCATGTACGACCAGAATCATGAAGGGAACCTCACCGGAGATCGTCAGTCGTCGCCTTTTGAAATCCCTAAGATCTCTCTTTGTGCGGTGGCAGGCACCGTCGCTGGTCGCGTCGATCCCTAGCATCTAGATTTGACATCGACAAGCAAAGATAATGAAGGAGAATGTTTTTAGAGATGAAATTTGGGGAAAAAAGAAAAAGAAGAAGAAGGTTTTTCTAACGGGGGCATTTAAGTTATTTTCTTGAAAAAAGGAGTCAGGTTACGTGACATATTTTGTTAAAAATTAAACGAAATTTAACAAAAATGATTAAACTATCATCTTTTAAAGAAATTAGAGTTATTTTATTAAAAAATAAAAATTAAGCACTGAACTGTTACTTACTAAAGAGTTTGAGGATCATTGTGTAAATTACTCGTATTGTTAATATATAGCTTGTACGTTGCCCCTTCTCTCCCTCGCGAACAAGGTAATCCTTAACCGGAGCAAGGGAATCCTGTGCTTGTGACCAAACAAGTGCTATCCACGTATCTAAATTCTAAACGTGGCCTTATAAAGCGACTCTCTCTCTCCGACCCAAAGTGCTTCTTCACAGTCGAGAGTTTCACGAGCTTGAAGCTCTAATGGTAATGGAGATGAAGAATTCCATGGCGATTACTTCCTTTTCCTTCTTCTTCTTCTTCTTCTTCTTGGCGTTGCTTTTTCTTCATGGGATAGTCCCTGTTTCCTCTTCTTCGCCTCTCACGAGCAGAAACCAGGTTTTTTTTTTTTTTTCGCTTCACAGACACATGAAATTATTGATTTTTTCTTATTTATTAAAGATGTGGGATTGGATTTGGTAGCTTCGGTTTTATGAATTGGGTCCTTTGTTTTGGAGGTTGATTGTTTTTCTGATCCCCAAAGAATTATATTTTTTCTTTTTCTGGTGAAGAATTTCAAAACTCCATTATCTGAACATCAAAGAACAAGGCAAAAGATAAAATTTTCTTTTTTGGGGCCCTTTCTTCCATGAAATGAGTGCTTATTTTCAGTTTTTCAGTCACATAAGTTTACAAGTTTGGTTACTACATTGCCAAAACCAAACAGGACTCTGTTTGAGCAGTTTTTTGGTTTTTTTTTTTTTTTTTAGCTGAGTCTATCTCTAGAAGATTTAAGCAGTAACCATGTGTTTTGTGTTTAATGATTCAGGTCTATGAAGAATCTCCCGGTTCAAGGTAATTTTTTGTTGTCAGACTAATTATTATTACTACAAAACACTTTTGTTCATTTAGTTAGATTGAATCACAACTTAAATAAATTTTTACTATAGTGTTTACTTTCACAAAAATTCAAATTCAACTTTTTTTACTACAGTGTTTTCTCAATTCACCTTTTAACTCTAAGTTAAACGAGCAAAACAGACAGAATATGATTGAATATTTGTGCTGTTTGGTTCGCAATTGCCACGTGTTTTTTCTTACACAAATTTGAATTTCTGTTCAAACCTGAAAGTTATATGGGTCACTTAATTAATGGAGGGTTTTGATATAAAGTTGGAAAATATACACAAATTTCCTTATTTAGAGTTTTAGACCATAGAATCATTGGTTGTAGTATCTGTATCTTCTTCTTGCCTATTAGAATAATTGTATAAAATAGGACTCAAATAGAAGTACATTTAATCTTCTCGATTATCCGTTTAAACCCTCTAGTCTTGTGCTGTTTCTGTTTTAGAACTCTTAAGCAAGATGAGGAACATGTTCCTGAAGTACATTGTTCTAGAGAAAGAAGTAGGGCAGCATGGAAAATTGTCGAGGAGGTAGGAGCTAAATGCTTGATAGGATTACAGAATTGCACCATTTTTCTTTTCAATAACCGTTGTATTTGGGAATCATGTAGTTCTTGATGCCATTCGTGGAACAAGAGCGCTATCAGATTTCAACCAAGTGTCGGCTTCATCCTGACAACGACATCTTTAGATATCAGGAGCAGCACAAGGTTCATGTGGATATGAATGAGTGGCAGTGTGGATACTGTAAGAAAAGCTTCCGCGCTGAAAAGTTTCTTGATCAGCATTTTGACAACAGACACTACAATCTTCTTAATGTTGTATGTAGATCTAGACCATATTTCCTTGTAGGTTAGGCGCAGATATTAAGTAGGTGCAAGATTTGCTGTTCATATTTGTTACATTGAAAAAAACTACTCTCTTATTTCACCTTGGCTTATTGCATTCAGCTATTCATGCCTTGGATCTAGATAAATCATATATTTGTCTATCAGTTCCGATCACTTCCATATTCTTATCCTGTAATTTTTCCTTTGCTTTTTTTTATTTTTATTTTATTTTTTAAATTTTGTTGATCTCTAGAATTCCTAGTTATTTCTTGTTGCCCTTATCCGCAACAAAGACATAAATTTGGATTTACTTAATATGTCTATTTTTTACTTCATTTTGATATAGATGTCTTAATATTTGGTCAAGTTATAATATCAACATTCTACTGTGTTTATCTGCCTTAATGATATAGACGGCCAAGTGTCAATAAATTATGATGTTTTGGATTAAATTTTGTTTTATTTTCAATTTTAATAGGGTTTATCATCTAATGAGGTTTATCATCTAATGAGCCTGCCCATATTTGTACTAAAAGACATACCTTGGAAATTTTGATTTCATAGATATGAGACGGCTTGTGGTGTTATTAGATTGTTGTTAGTAATTGTAACAGTTTCTAATGGATGCAGAACGGAAGCAGGTGCATAGCTGATTTATGTGGGGCGTTGCACTGTGACCATGTGATGAATACAAAATTGCCGAAAACCAAATGCAATCCTGCTGCTGTTGCAAGAAATCGCCATTTATGTGAGGTTGCTTTGAGTGCTTTCATTGCTAGTCTTGTCGATCTTAAAGATTATACCGTGTTCATATCTAGTTGTTTCTGTGCAGAGTCTTGCTGATAGCTGTTTCCCCGTTCAGCAGGGACCCTCAGCAAGCCGCCTTCATGGTACTGTACTTTTCAGTTTTTTAAGAGAGAACCGCGAACTGTGTCTCTTGTGATTCTATTTCAATTTCAGATTCTTTCTTGTTTTAGAGCATTTCCTATGTACTGTTTTGCAAAGTAGCTATCTTGCAAAACTTATGTTGACATTCTGGCTTATCTTTAGAGTTGTTTCTGCACCAATTTTGTGATGCTCTCACTTGCTCTGGGAAACAAAAACCTTTCTCCAGAGGAGGCAAGGTAACTCTTCAGTCTGTTAATATTAGTCGGTAGGATTCTATATGGGAAATATGTAATATGTTGATTCCATTTCTAATGCTTGCAATATGTTACGCTCATATTAGGTTCTTATGACATACTTTCTTCAAACCTCAAAAGGGTGGAAACATTTTTTCAACTTTTTTAGATTGAAATTACTTTCTTGCCAGTTCCTTCATTTTGGGAAGTATAAAGCAGTCTCGTAAGGTCAAATGAGGGCAGTTTCATGTATATTTTTCCAGAATAGTGAAATTTAAAGGTCATCTAGGATTCTGATTCTGTAGGTCTGATCTTATTTGAATTATGTTAGGTTTCTTCTCTTCTCTCTCTCTCTGTTTTTTTTTTTTTTTTAAATTGTTTTCCTTATTTTCTATACGCCTCTGTTGATATATGTAGTGCACTGTTTCATCCATGCAGAAGCAAACAAGTATACTATACCTGGCTAGTTCAATACTGACTTTGATGCTGCTCCCCATTTTCTATGTTATTGTTTTCTTGCACCAAAGGTATCACTTTTAGCTTTTTGAGACCTCATCGAGGCAAGTTCTTCCGATGATTTTCTAACGTGTTGTGTTTTGCAGAGAAATGAAAATGAGAAGCCAAGAGCTTAGGCGCATCCCGCGAGCTGGACGAAAGATAAAACCCTCATAAGTCATAAATGTAGTTCTCTTTTTAACTCCATTTTAATTAATAATGTGTAATTCATGTCGTACTTAAAATTTTCTAATTCCACTCTTTTTTTTTTGGTCAGGCTCTTTGAACAATCTATTCGTTTGACAGACAAAAAGGATATGACAACGGTTTCCATACACCAATTTGCATGGCGCTCACAAATTTCGCTCGCACATGTTTATATTGAACAAAGGCACAATGGAGTATAGAAGCGTCAAGAAAGCGTATATTGCAAGAAGCGAAACTTGCCAGAAAACCAATTAGAAGCTACATGAAAATATTGTTTTCCTAGTAAAAGTTCTGCTTGATGAAAAAAAAAAAATAAAATAAAACAGCATAAGTTTGTAAAAGAAGAGGGATATTATCTCAAAAAATCAATGGTCTTTAACTCTTCTTTTCTGTACTACAAATTATTCAGTGTCAATTGGAGCTCTCTTTTTGCTCTGTTTCCCCTTTCATAAACAAGAAGGCACTGTAATATTCCAATTATTCTGCAAGCTGATGCTTAAATATTCTGACCACGATAAGAGCCCCATCACCATTTCTGCACAAATAGATTTGATTTTCACAATCAGCTACTTAAATAATGGCTACAGTCTATAATCCATCAGATTAGAAAGGCTTTCTATATTACTTAAATTGGTCTTTTAACTTCTTGATGACTTAGCAGTGCTCCAAAATCCGAATGGATGTGACATTATGGAGCTATGACCCCGAATGCATGGGATATTATTTCATTTGACAGAAGAAAACCGTCTGGATCGCTAAGCCGAATATAAGCAAGCCCCTTTTCAATCTTGTCTTCCTCATCAAGTAGCATGGTATTGAATTCATCCGAAGAAAAGGCCCGTCCTCTCTCGTCCAAGCAAACTACATGTCCGCTTTGGACATGAGCTTTGTAGGCTTTGCAAAGAGAAACAACAAGAGAATCACCGAATGCTTCTCCGAAGGACCTTAAATCCAGGCCTCTTGCAGTCCTCAAAGAGAGCATAACAATATCCATGGCAATGTCCTTGGAATCAATGTGATTATCGTTATTGCAATCTACCATTCCATTCTCCAAATTTTTGACAAATTCCACGTATCCTTTCATCTTTTTAGGCCTCGAAAATCTAAGTCCGCCAACGTAGCTAGCAGAACCAAGGCCAAAAGCATAGAAAGGTTTGTTCTTCCAATAAACCAGATTGTGTTTGCATTCAAACCCTTTTTTGCAGTAACTGCTGATTTCATAATGAGCATAACCTGCATCAGAAAGCATTCTTGAAGCTGTTTTATACATATCGGCCGACTGTGAATCAGAAGGCAACGGGAACTCCCCTGGTGTGTACCTGCAAATAGTCAAAATCTCAATGTTATTCAAACTCCGATTTGACACTCATGTTCTATTCTTCGTGTCCCCTTTCATTTCTATCCAATTGATGTCATTTTACATCAATTAAAATGTTATGTTAATTAAGATATTTTAATCAACGTGACACGATATTATTGAAGGACATTAAAAAGGAACAGGAAAAAGCGAATATGCAAGTTGAATCCATCAAATGCAATAAACTGAAACTATAATCCTTTCATCATTTTGAAGGCTTCATGACTTACAACAACCCAAATTTTGTGCCTTGCTCGACTTGCAAATCGTATACCGACACGTGCTTTGGTCCCGCTTCAATGGTGAGCCTCAAACTCTCTTCCCACATCTGAGGAGTTTGGTGGGGAAGAGAAGAGATGAGATCCATACTCCAATTCTCAACCCCACAAGACTCAACAATCTCAATAGCCTCGTAAACCTCCTTGACACCATGTGCTCTCCCACAAGACTTCAACAGCTCTTCTTGAAACGCCTGAACTCCTAACGACACTCTATTAACACCCAAGTCCACCAACTCTCTTGTCTTCCCAGCATCAAAGGTCCCAGGGTCCATTTCCATGGACACCTCGGCATCCGAATGCAGCCCAAATTTCGACCTCAACGTCTCCAAAACCGACGACACGAGCCTCGGCGGCACGAGAGAAGGCGTGCCACCTCCAAAAAACACGGTTTCGAGAGGCGGGTTATCCTCGCTTTCTCCTCTTGTGGCAACGATTTCCCGGCAAAGCAGATTAATGTAGTTCACCATTCGCGGGTCGTCCTCGGCTTGGGGCGAGGAAGAGCCGAGGGCGACGATGGGAAAGTCGCAGTAGTGGCAGCGTTTTCGGCAGAATGGGAGGTGTACGTAGGCCGAAGTAGGTGGTAGCTGGTGTTGGAGAAGTCTATCGTTGTGGATTTTCTGTGCGGTATTTTGTCGAACAGTTGGTGAGCTATGTGCGAGAGCGCTGAAGATGGCCTTGAACGGTAGTTTTCTGGTACTAATTTTGGCGGGAAATGCTGGGAAAATGGGAGTGAAGGTTGATCTCAGCATGATAGATTGGGTTATGAAGTTAAGGGTTGTGGGGTTTAGTGAAGACCGAATCTGTATCTGTATATATATATATGTGTGTGTGTGTATGAGTTACAAGATTAGTTTTGGTTCTCTAAAACAATAAACGACTCGCGTCTGTGTTGAGTTTTTTCTTCTGGAGAGATTTGGGTAATACAGACTTTCCAAAGGGGTTCATTCATTTTAAGTAGAAAGATAGATGACGTCCATCTAATTTTCCCAAAATTTTGCAAACACCCACCTTAACGGCTTTTCTTGATAGAATATTTTTTCTGAACTTTGATTTTTGGAAGTCTATGACAGTAAAATTGACAAACAAGTTTAAAATTTCAGAGAAATTATCATGTTTCAATCACATATTAAATGAAATTACAGAAATATAATTACAAAAGGTTCCTACTTTTGAAGTTTCTTAAACGCATTCATTTTATTATAATTATTTCTCAATTTATTTGCGCGACAAACGACATGTTGATAGTATTAAGTTAAAAAAATAGAATATAAGTTATTATCCATTCACCCCATTTGCTTGACAAGAAAAGGAATAAGAAGAAGAAAAAAGACCTCTTTTAAAAATAAAAATAAAAATAAAAAAGAAAAAATTGTACACATGATGTTGAGTTTTGTTGGTAGAAACATATGCTTAGAATTTGTCTGTCAGGCCATACATCTACCTCCAATAACAACACAAAAATTTCTCAATAATAGCTACTGAATTAAGAAGTCAATATACACGCCTCCAAAAAGAAATGAACAATCATTTAGCTATATACTACAAAACTGTGTTCCATTTTATTCTCATACTAGATATTTCACCATGTAAGGCCCTTCGAGCTCATAGCCTAATTTCCTATAATAATGCCGTGTGCCAACTCCTGAAATAACAGCAATCTTTGTCGACCGATGCTCCCACCGAGCGATTCTCTCAGCCTCTTCCATCAGAAGAGTACCATAACCCTATGAGGATCAATCAAATAAAGAACCCCCAAAAAAAAAAAAAGGTTAAAATTAGAGCACAGAAAGTGATTTCAATAAGATTTCTTTTTTCCCTTGTAAATAATGTGTTCAAATCTTGTAGAAGCATTGGTGAATACCTGGTGCTGAAGTTTGTCAGCGTCTCTCCCGTGAACTGGAACAGCAGTTCCATATACATGAAGCTCGCGGACAATAGAACATTTTCCCACGAGTTCAGGACAAGTTGCGTTCCTGCCACATTTCCGCAACCGCAGCAACCCAACAAGAATATCCTATTCAAGACAAGAATGGAAATAAAGACATGTCAGGTTTCAGTGAATGTAAACTGCCCACCAAACACAAAGGCAACAGGCATTGTTTATCCATAAATAATAATGAGGATGAACTTTCAGCTAAGGGTTTTAAAGTTTTTCAGGTGCATGTGCATATCAACAGCGTTCTCCTTGAGGGGAAGCGGGCGAGAGAGAGAGAGATTTTAAAATACCTGGCGTACATCTTCATACGAGAGGAATGTTTCCCAGCCTTCATTCGCTGTATAGTCACGACGAACCAATTCAACTTCTTCAGGCTTAATTTTGTGGTGAATATCCTAAAATCACAAAAACATTAGTAAATATTTCAGGGGTTTCTCAAATTACATAGTATGCTGGATACAAGTACAAGCACGGTTGTGCATACTTACTTGGATTCCAGCCTCTCGTGTTCGGACATCACGGCACTTTAAGCCCAAGTCCTCCATCCGAGCTAAAGCTAGCTCCCGAAGATTTCCTTTCTCAACCCCTGAAGTAACCAGAGGCATGGGAATATCCCTCTGTACCCTGTACACACGTGTCCAAGGGGGTACCATGGCTAGGATCCTTGCTACAATGTCCACAAGTTGCTCGGGTGGATAGTTCCTATACCTGCAAATGGAGAAGTATTACCACTTTACAAAGATGCTATGCAAAAATGATGAAGAATTTAAATTATTGTGTTTTTGCTTCATAGATTTTGATCCAAAGATAAGGCACAATGAATATCACGTGTTTTATAAAGATGTAGTTCCCAACTTTGTACCCAACAAAGAAGAAACAAGGAGGAGAAACTATACCTGCCAGTTTTCCAAAGCTCATAAAGTCCAGTTCCTCGGATCACAAGCGTAGGATAAATTTTTAGTCCATCGGCTCTAAATGAAGGACTCTCAAAAAACTCCTTAAAACTTTCCATGTCCCTCTCCACACCAACATTAGGAAGGTCAGGCATCATGTGCGCAACAACCTAGAGCAGAAGAGAACATTATGATCATTAAACGAAATAAGTAATTAACAAACGTGTGTGCACATAGTAGTCTCACAGAAAAATAGCTAGGATAAAACAAACAACATCAATTGCACTTGACAAAAATAATAAAATTCACAAATAGGAGGCCATAAAAATATTTCCAACAAAACCAAAGATGGCATAATATGGTTTGCAGAATAATTCAAGACCAAAAGATGCTTACATAATAAAGATTGGAAATCTGATACATAACTGCATCTACTAGACATGATTCTTTCCTGCGGAGCATACCTTAAAACCAGCATCCTTCGCCAAGCAGAAACAATCGGCAACAGCAGCAACTGTATGGCCTCTATTAGTGTCACGAGCCACATCCTCATATGTGCTTTGTACTCCAATCTCCAATCGTGTGCAGCCATAAGAAAGCATTTGCCGCAAGTGAGGTCCAAGGCAATAATCTGGCCTCCTGACAGATTTTAAAAGAATGCAATATGATAAGAGGATACTTAAGCAACAAAACACTGTAGTTTAGAAATAAAAGCCCAAGATTGAAACTTGAGAGAACTTTAAAACAATGTCCCATATAAGAATTTGACATTCCACATCTTATCCATCAAAGTCCAAAACTCACGTTTCTATCGTCATGCCAATACATTTAGTAGCACCATGCTCAGAGAAGGCCACGGCCTCTTCAACATTGGCAGAGGTGTGTCCTGATAAAGCATCATGAAGGTTCCTTATGAAGTAATCGCGGTAATCTGCTGGCAGCGACATAAACGTGCCGCCCATTAAGATGAACTCCACCTGCCAATCATATGGCCATGGTAGTACGCAGATGATTATTTGCTTCAATATCTAACATTAGCTAAGCCTAATCATAGTTATTTGAGTCTAGAATTGAAATGCAAGCCATACCTTATCTACACTGTGACCCAAACGCTTCAACTGATCAATCCTGCTTCTAGCCTGGACATATGGGTTGTATCTGAACCAAATAGAACACACGTAATGGTGTTAATTACATATCAAGTGTTATGTCCACAAACAAATAGCATATGATTATGCATGAAAATCGTCAAGAGTTTTATGTTAAACCTTTGAAACAACCAACCACGCAAAGTCACAGTAAGCAATCTGATTTTGACACTATCAATCATATAAAAACGACACAACACCAGAGATTGTAGTTCTTATATTAACAAGTACAATTTGCATCCTTAAAACATAAAGATCATTGTTTTTAGGTTACTCGTTGGTGAAAAAAAAAAAAAAAAACAGAGAATACACCTTTTTGTCAATGTAGCTGAAAAAAAATGAGATTTTTCTACAAAACCAATAAATCTCTAACAACTATATTAAAACTTCAAAAATTCAGTATTCAATCCCTTAGTTATTCCCAAATCTGGAATTCAATGAAAAACCTACCTAGCTCGAATTGCGCGCATGCTCGTCGGCTCGTAACCGGTGTAAGACTGAGTACTGTACTCGAAGTCGGAGTCGGGACCTCCAGGGCAGTAAACGCAGATATTCCCGGTGGTGGCGATGTGAGGGCAGCGGTGAGGCTTCGACATGACGGCGACGACGGCGATACCGGAGGCGGTGCGGACCGGCTTGGCGCGGAGCTTGGGGAGGAGAGACTCGCGCTCGGAGTCGGGTAGCGCGGCGATCATCTCGACGAGCTTGGGGGCGCGGGCGAGGCCGTACTTCCGGCATGCGGCGGACTTTAGGGCGTTGAGGTTGACGTTCTCGCCCCTCCGGGAGAGGTCGATCATGGAGCTTACGATCTCGGCGATGGCTCGGACTCGGGCCTCCTCTTCGCTGAGGCCGTGAGCTTCGAACCCGCCCCGACCTGGTCGCGGGAGCTTCTTGTTCGGCTCGGCTACCATCGCAGCCGCCATGGGAGAGGAGAGGAGAGAGAGAGAGAGAGAGAGCAAAGAAGAAACAAGAAGATACACGACACGATACCCAGAGCTTTAAAGATGTAAACGAAACGACAGCGTTTTCTCTTCGAACAAAAAAGAAAGGGAAACGACAGCGCTTCTCGGTGAACAATAAACGACTTGGAAAGGTCCTTTTTCTTGTCGGGGTTAGTGGAAATTAACTTTTTGACAAATTAAATTTTTATTATCCTATTAGCTTGCATTGATCTCAAAAATGACTTTTATGTTTTTTTGCCAAGTTCATTTCTTAACTCAAATCATATTACTATAATATTTTTTTCATATAAATTAAAATTTAATTTTTTTATTATATATATTTTTTTCACATACATAACTCAAATCATAATTTGAGTTAAGCAAGTGAACACATAATTTTTTAAAAAGTTATTCAGAGAACTACTTGTAAATAAGAAAATTGCTTAATATATCTCAAATGTTTTGCTTGTAATTGTAACCAATTTTTTTCTTACACATACTAAAATAACTTATAAAGTTACTAAAAATATTACCTAAAACGTAATATATACTTGAAAAGGCCAAATTTATTTAAGAATTTGATCTTAAAATTCCTAAAAAAATCTTTATTTTCCCTTTTGTTTTCCTTTTATAAAATTTTCCTACACCTCTATTTAATAGAGAATCATCATGATGACCATTGTACAAACAAATTGACCTTTTTTGTCGAAAGTCGGGGTACAAATGTAAATTCAGCTTTAGCTGAAAATGCAGTGAAATTACTGCATTGCCATCAGAAGCAAACGCGGTCTTGTGCGGTCGTGCGGTCGTACGGTACGGTTTGCTTGCGAAAGGCCGAACTAGATAGCTCTAGAGCTCTACAGAGCAGCGATCATGGCGGATGATAGTCCAAAGAGAAAGAGAGCTTTGGAAGCTCAAGTTCTCGAGGTGGTCGGAGAAGTAATCTCTGCAATTAACAGCGCCAAGCATGTCGACCATGTCATTTGCGCGCTTCACTCCATGACCGTCCTTCTCTTTCCTCTCGATTCCTCTCTCGTCTCAGGTAATCTCCAATCCCTAATTTCTCTCTTCATCTTAGAATAATTGAATTTCTGAGTTCGTGAAGTGGGTTTTGTTGATCAGAAATCATTGGAAAAGAAAAAAAAAAAGAAGAAAGTTTTGGTTTTTCTGATATTCTGTTGATATGATTATATAACATTTGGAAACAAAATCGGTTCAAAGTTTTATTTTTTGTTCTTTGCTGGCACAATTTAAGATTAAAGATCAACTACCGGTGAAATTGAAAATGTAAACCTTTTTTTCTCCAATTATGAGTGTATAAGATATAGCGTCTCTCTCTCTCTCTCTCTCTCTCTATATATATATATATATATATATATATATACGCACAAATATATATATATATATAAATATAATATAGTGCAATAATTACTACGTGAATCTTTTCTTGTACAGGTAGTCTTGACGAGAAATATCGAGATCAGGTATGCACAGCTGAATTCATTTGGCCTTCTTACTTCTTAGGTCTCAGGCTTTTTTTTTTCCCCTCAAAATTCTCAGTTATTGGTATAATTTATTATTGATTTTTATGTTTGTATTGTGTTGTTCAGATCCTTAGTGCAAAAGCTCCTTCAGCAGTTGAGAGAAGTGAATGGTGGCAGGCATTCTACCGAGGAGCCGCATTTCCGACTGTGGCTCGCGTTCTTTTACGGGGTAAATCTCTTGGCTGGTGTTCTTAATTTGTTACTCCATTGTGTTAGCAGCTTCGCATTATGGGTGAGAACCATTTAGATGGCTTTTGTTCATGTGTACTTATGTGAGATACACAAGTTCCCGTTGAACGCTTGTTGTCCGAATCTTTAAATCTTTAGCAAAATGTTTTTATGGGTGCAGAGGTTGCTTCCAATTGGCTAGCATGTTTCCCCATTTCAGCTCGTAAGCACGTCTACGATGTTTTCTTTGTTAAAGGACTTGTAACTGAGGTTGTTCAGGCCTTGGTCCCTTGTTTACAGCAGATTGGGACCGATGGTCTTGATGTTAGTGCTGTCTGCTCAAATACCGAAAGGTATGTGTTAGTAACCTGATTTTGTGAGATAATCCTTGCTTTTGCAGACAGATTTTCTTGGTCCAACTTGCAGATGAGGCTAGCTCTTCAGTTTGTTTTTGTTTTTTCATATTAGAATATAGAGAGTAGAGAATCTAATCAATCATTGTAGGTGATTCTTTGCTCCTTGTTTTCTGACCATCATGGGTTATAAAATAATACAAAGGTGACCATAGAATGATTATGAATACATATCTATTGTCAGCAGGTAGCAATCCGATTTTCCTCAAGTTGAATTGTTATCTCAATTGTTCCTTTCTGTTTGTAAGTTTATACTTTCTGTATTCTGAAACATTCCATGTTGCAACCAACAGGTTGCAACAGTTATGCCATAGACGTTAATTTTAAAGAACGGAAAAAGATAAATGAAAATTGAAACCCGTTCCTGTGTTATTAAATTTCTTGTCACTAAGAGTCGATATTTTTTCTTCCTTTACCATTAGCACAGATTGGTCATTCTTTGCTTGCTTGAAAAAGATAAATGAAAATTGAAACCCGTTCCTGTGTTATTAAATTTCTTGTCATTAAGAGTCGATATTTTTTCTTCCTTTACCATTAGCACAGATTGGTCATTCTTTGCTTGCTTGAAAATGATGGAGTTGCCCAGATGGCTAGGGAATTTGGTTGTCCTTCCCAAACTGCAGATTCTGGAGATGTACCTTCCAAGGCCACAATATCCATGGTGGCACAGATTATTGCATCTATACCTGACAAAGCACAATTGGGAGCCCCAGTTTCGCTTTCATCACAGTATCCTTAATGTGTGCAATCTTGTATCAGTCTGTTCCTTCAATTGTGTTCTTTTACAGGTCAATGAAGATCAGAAACATACTCAACTGTTCTTGTTCTGACCTCAAGATAGTTTTGAATTTACGACACACACACACGCACAGACACATAATTGTATATCATGGTGTTTGTTGTGCAGTGTTTATCCTCTACAAGAATATAGTTCGTTCTTCAAGCAGATTACCATTCAGCTTCTTTCTCTGGCAGAAGAAAAGAACTTGAATTTATCTAATGGTGGAGCCACAATCCATATAAGAGACGTGGATGGTACCTTTTTATTTGTTGGTGAAACATTTTCTCGTATCTGTCGTCGTGGTTCTGTAGGTAAGTCTTATGTCTAAGTTTACTTGTGCGGGAATGCATTGGGATTGACTTAGTGGGAATATTATTGTTATATCCTTGAAGAAGGAAGGGAAATCAAGTGTTTGAATATCTTTTACCACAGATGTGTTCGCAAGTGAAGTTGTCCCAAGGGTTCTTAGGCATGTACAAAGGTTATTATCATCAACTGTTGATTCACTTGTCTTGGATGTGATTGACTCAAATCCTGCTTCCCAGTTTTGGTTGAATATGATGTTGTCAGTCAACGATTCGTATGCTGTGGAAAGAATGTCTGAACAACTTTTACATGAGCTTGCAACTCAACGTGTGAGTGATGTTGAAGCTTACTGGGTTCTTTGGTTATTGTTTCATCGAATTTTTGCACAGCAGGCATCATTGAGGTCAGTGAATATGGCTTCTTCGTCAGTTTTCCATTTTTCTTCCTCTTTGTGAGTAAGTGAACAATTGATGATGGCAAATCCATCAACAAAAAGAAAAAAAAAGGAAAAAAAAAAAAGAAAAAACCCATATTGAGACCTTTATCCTGATCAATGTATATAATAAGAAGTGGTATGTATATATTTGTTATTTATCAAGAATATTGTTTCACAACTTTGAACTGATGCTACTGTCAGCATAGGGCACTGATTGTTTTTTGACTTTTGATAATGATATAGACCACAATTTCTATCTCTTTCCAAAACATGGTTCTGTCTTGTCTTGATTTTTTTTTTCTTTTTGAAGCTTTAATTTCATGAACTTTTAATGTAATTCAAAACGCAAGTTATGTTCTTATTTTTTAAATTACTTATATGAAGAAGGATTCTTGTATATTTTTCACTAGACTAGTTATGGACTTATGGTGATTGTTAATTGATTTTCCTCTCTCTCAGGTCCATGTTTGTTGACAAATTTTTATTCTGGAAAGTGTTTCCTGTCCGTTGCGTCCGATGGATCCTTCATTTTGCTCTTCTTGAATCCCCTCCAAATGCAAATTTGATTCCTAATGTTAATAACACCCACAATTTCTTAGAGGCATTGCAGCGGCTGGTATTGGTATGGTCTAAGAGAGAGTTCGTGCAATCAGCTACAGTGGAGCAGCAAATTTGTATCCTTTTAACATTGTGCCACTAAACGATCTGTAACAGATCCTAATGTCAATGATTTCAATGATATGAGAAAGAAGTTATCAGTTATGTTATATCAACTTCTCTGTGACAAATTTGGAATTTGGATACCTTATATCATTGTGCTACGCGCAAACTCATCTTATTTTCAGTATGCTACTTTTTTTGGTTTTGTTGCCCCTTAATTTTGGAATTCAGATGTATCTGCGGCTGTTGGCCTTTCCCTGGAGAAGATGTCTAAAGAGGAACTAAATGAGGTTAAGGACGTGATGAACTCAATTCTTCAAGGAGTGAGCTGTAATTTCTTGTACCTTTGTCATAGTTTCGTTCCATCGTGAATAGCTTTTAGTGTCTTCTTAAATCTTGGCTTTCTGCTTGCAGATAGGCTGGAGAGCCCTAATGATTTGGTTCGTAAAATGGCTAGCAGTGTTGCATTAGTGTTCTCGAAAGTTATTGATCCAAAAAATCCTCTATACCTTGATGATAGCTGCAGTGGAGAGACCATTGATTGGGAGTTTGGGTTGACTACTTCTGAGAAAGGACCTCTGACAACCACAAACTGCGTCGGTAGTGGTGTTAATGTTAAATCATCTTCTACATCAGAGCTGGAAAAGGACGTAAACCACCTACCTGATGATGACATACGCAATAAAGTGAAGAGAAAAAAGGAGAAAGTATCTGAATATAAGTTGGTTGATCCAGACGAGATTATAGATCCAATTAATCTAAATTGTGACTCAGGCTCTGATAAAGATGACTATGATGATGATGATGATACTAGGAGTGAGAATTCTGATACTTCAAGTGACTCATCTTTACAGCCTTACGACTTATCAGATGATGACACGGATTTGAAAAGGAAATTCACACAGTTGGTTGATGTTGTTGGAGCACTACGAAAATCTGATGATGCTGATGGGGTAAGTCAAGCAGATTTCACTTCTTAATTTTGTTTCCTAATGTTTGTTTGAAAGATTCATTTAATCGATCGGTTGGTGGTGTCAACAAGATCTTTCTATGCAACTTCTCTGGTATCTTTTGATAAACATTTCATGCAATGGGGTTAATTTTGCCTGTCCCATACTTTTAAGAAAATATTTGTAAATTGTTGGTGAAACAAAATTCCTACCATCACCCAATGTAACTGGTTATACTACAACCCCCTGCACGTTGGCATGTTATTTGCAAAATGCGGCAGAAACAAGTTCTCTTCTAGACAGTTCCTAATATATTTATATTTGCAGGTGGAGAAGGCTCTTGATATTGCCGAAAGCCTTGTCCGAGCATCACCAGATGAACTTAGGCATGTAGCAAGTGATCTTACGAGAACTCTTGTACAGGTTCGTTGCTCTGATTTGGCTGTAGAAGGCGAGGAAGAATCAGCCGAAGACAAGAGGCAAAGGACATTAGTTGCTTTGGTTGTCATGTGTCCATTTGAGTCTCTTGATACATTAAACAATCTCCTATATTCACCAAATGTTGATATTAGCCAACGGATAATGATACTCGATGTCATGACCAATGCTGCTCAGGAGCTTGCTTATACTAAAACTATGAGACCTAAACATCAGACCAGGCCCCTAATATCAACCATATCAGAGACCCAAGCCTGGTTCTTGCCTAGTGACGTAGGGCCTCCTGGAGCAGGTTCCTGGAAGGAAGTTTCCGAAAGGGGAACTTTACTGAACTGGGAAAATCGCTATGAGAGAGAACTTCCCCCAAAACCCGGTCAAATCAAAAAAGGAAAGACGCGCAGATGGAGCGTAAGATCAGCAAATGTACAAGAGAACCAAATAGAATGGTCCCGTAATAAGTTTCCGATGTATGCAGCAGCGTTTATGCTCCCTGCCATGCAGGGCTTTGATAAGAAAAGGCATGGTGTAGATTTGCTTAATAGAGATTTTATTGTCCTTGGGAAACTCATCTATATGCTTGGCGTATGTATGAAATGCGCTGCCATGCATCCAGAAGCATCTGCATTAGCCCCCCCTCTTTTAGATATGCTAGGAACGAGGTAATGTGATGATCAAAGAAGAACATGTAGACATTCCAAATCTTTTGTTTATACTAATGAATTGGATATTGGCCTTTGTATTTATACAAAGAACGGCACTTCAATTTCTCACTGAATTGCTTAGTGTTTAACTCATGCAGGGAAATCTGCCATCACAAAGAAGCGTATGTCAGAAGAGCTGTTCTTTTTGCAGCTTCATGCATATTGGCATCGCTCCATCCTTCTTATGTTGTGTCCGCGTTGACTGAAGGAAATCTCGAAATTTCAAGAGGGCTTGAATGGGTTCGCACGTGGGCCCTCCATGTGGCCGAATCAGACACAGATAGAGAGTGCTATATGGTAAGCAACAAATTACACTACTCCATAGCAGTTCTATATCCATTCATGGCTTAACTTTGTGCCATACAAATTTTAAAAATTTACAATTGCCTGCATAACTTGTTGAACATTTGATATTAGATGGCTATGACATGTCTCCAACTCCATGCTGAGATGGCCCTTCAGGCTTCACGAGCATTGGAGTCGACACAAAGTACGTTGAAATCGGCAAATAGTGGCCTTACTTCCCATGTCTCCAAAGGGACGATAAAAATCCCTTCCTCCAATGCACTCCATTAATCTTGCTGATCTAATTCACTTTTAAAGAAAATTGCTAACAGTAGCTCTTGTAACTTCTTTTGTACAGTAATTAAATATCATGTTTATTGTTCAATATGTCTCTCCCCTTATTTTTTGGAGGCAGCAAATATGTCCGTCTATTTATTTTCACCATATTTTATTTCCTTTTAAGACGTTGACACTGCATTTCTTTTTCCTTGTGTTGGCTAATTTTTGCTACACTTATAAAAAATTGATTTCATGTTTAAACTCGCTGCTCAAACCTACAAACCAAATGGGCTAGTTCAATCCTTTTTATTTTCTTTACCTCTCTTATCTTTCTTACTGAAGTGTAAAAATCCAATTAAACAAAACACAATCAAAGGTGGCTACAGAACTAGTTAGGAAAATGGCCACGGACGCCCAATGCGGGGGGTCCAAATTCTTGTGCAGTGCTTCTATCACAAGTAAAGCATCACTTCCGATCACTATTCTGTGGTTTGTTTCACAAGTTGGCACCGCAATTCAAACCTTTTTGTTACGCTATTTTCCCTTACAAAAATTTTATGTTGCGCTTGAAATTGTTCTTGTTTTTGTTTTTTTACGTTTTTTGATAAAAAAAAAATAAAAACGATTTTAAAACGGCGTTTGGCACAATTAAAGACAAAAAACGGAAATGAAAATGATTTTTTAGTTTAGTGTAAAATGATAGAGAAATGAAAAATAATTTTTAGTCATTTTTCATTTTTTATTTTCGTTTTCTCCTCTCGAGCAGAGAGAGAGAGACATTAATGGTTTTTTTTATACTGAAAACAATCTCTTGATAAAATTACTATACGCATTTTTAAAAATAATATATGTTTGAGATTAAAAACGTTTTCATTTATATTTTCATATAAAAAAATAAAATTATTTTAAAATGAGTTCCAAACGCGCTCTTAATTTCTGTTCAAATTTTCTACTTCAAACCTATAACCTGCCAAACAATCACTATGTGCTTCCAGTTATTATCAATAGCCAGCTCATGAATAGCCAAGTAAATCGCAAATATCTCACATGGGCCATTCATGTGGCCGAATTGAATGCGTGTGTGTCTATATATATATATATATATATATTTAATTATAGTGGCATATCGTAAGGAATAGTTCTACACCCATTTCTTCTTGTTTGATGGGAAGGTCTACATCCATTTGATTTGTTGCTTTAACTGTTATGCCTTTACTTCCCCCCAACTACCTATATACCTGTCTCATTATATGTTGCATGTTAAATGGCTGACATACAGAGCCAGCTCAATTTTTTTATGGTAAATGATTCAAGTAGACATTTACTGCTACTGCTGTTTTTGTTTTTTCAACTTAAGACGGAGAATTTAAACTCTATTTTAAAAAATAATCCTTTTTTTTAGGTAAGAAAGAAAAGACTTACTGGTACGATTTATGTTATGATCGTTAAATTTAGTCAAAATCACTTTAAATTGAAAAAGTATACATAACATATAATTTTTTATACGAATTTAATAGTTAAAAAGTATAAAACTGCCGGTAATCTATTTTTTCTAGTCTTACCGGAGAAGATCTTAAGAAGAAAACTGAGAGATATTAAAACAATTAGAGATTAGTGACAAATATTACAATTATTGCAACAAGAAAAGTTTAAAACATTATCCTTTCAAAAAAAAATAATAATGAAAGGGACAAAATGCTATAGTTTTGATTATGGAGTTTTTTTTTTCCTTCGGCTAGGTGAAACTCAAGCATTTTTGTGGAGGGCTTTTTTTTTTTTTTTTATGAGTTGCATTTTATATAGTTCAATTTAGTAAGGTCACTAATTACTGAAATGACATAAAGTTTTTTTCATGAATATTAAGGGATTGTTTTTTTTAATTACTGAAATGACATAAAGTTTTTTTCATGAATATTAAGGGATTGTTCTTTTGAGTGTAACTTGAGTATAGTTTTTGAGTTAAATTTGAGTTATAACTTGAGTTGAAGTTAGAACTTGAATAAAGTTGAGTAAAATTGAATAAAGTTAAAACTTAAAAGAACGTGAACTTGAATAAAGTTGAAACTTGAGTTGTCTTTTTTTGAGTTTTTGGGACAAAAGAACATGCCCTGAGACTTTTCTTTTTCAGAGAATAAGGATATATTGAAGTAATTAAGACTATTTTCCGAGATATGGTCTCAATATAATAATAGCTTTAAATATGGGGTCTTAAAGGTAAATTACTTATGTGGGGTCTTGGATGAGCATCCGCATGAGGAACTGAGGCCCAAAGACAAGTGACTTTAATGACACGTTTCAACTCCATGCTGAGATTGGCCTCTACAACTAACGATCTTCAACGGTGGTGGATTCTAACACGAACTAATTATGGTCAGTTAGACTTTATCGATTTGAGTTTAGAATTTAAGTTTTATTACAATAAAAAATTTTTAAAAATAGTTACATTTAAATTTTTTATTACAGTAAAATTTTTTTACATAAAATTATATCTCAATTTAAATTATAAATTTAAATAAACGAAATAAATGACCGTCACATCCAAAGGAAAGTTACTACTATCTTTGCCTTTTTGTACACTTAAATCTCATAGTTAATCAGTGCCTGTTTTTTTTTTTTTTTACCTCGTGCCAATTAATGCCATGCTTCGTGTAATGTTGTGCTCATGACACGTGCCTCTGCTCTTATTATTAATATTATTTTTGGTATACGAGACACGCACAATCTCACTAGACAAATCGACCACTATAACTTTAAGGTGCATAAGCTATTATCGAAACTTAAACTAATAGAATTTGGTATTTGTTTTTTATAGAGTTAAATATTTATAGCCGATTTGATTTATAGGTTTCTAACAGAAATTTAAATGTAGTTATGCTGACATTGCTGAGCAATGACACCAAAGAGTTGCTAATAATGAGACTATTGATCGAGAGTAAAATTCGTTAAAGGTTAAAAACAACAAGCATTCATCCTCAAATTTTGAGAAGTCCAAAAAAAGTCTTTTATGTTTAGTTCGTTGATTCGAGTTTTTAATTCGAGTTGAGGTGTGACTTTATGTGAGAGCTTTTTACTGTAGTAAAAAAGTTAGATGTGACTGTTTTTGAGAGCTTTTTACTATAATAAAACTTAAATTCTAAACTCAAATCGGTGAAATAAACGGGGCCTTAACTTCTATAAACATCCTAAGTCTTTTTTTTTTTCATATGACTTAATGAAAAGGAAAAGGTATGAATTACCACATAAATCACATATGAATGTACCGATTACTGTTTACTACAGAATGGGGGAGCTTATTCCTACTATCTAGACATAAATGCAACCAACTTGACATGACACATAGTTATTGACAACATTAAAAATTTAATTGACAACGATGACATCTCCTGAAATTTAGCAAATTAACAAGTTATTCCATCAATTTTTAATTTTAATAAATTATTTTTAAATTTTAACAAAATATCAACCTAATACTTTTAAATTGATAAATGGTGTTGAAATCATGCATAAAAAAGAGCTTTTATGCACGGAAAATGATCTTATGCTCTAACAATTAACAAAATTGTTTCGTCTTCTTTCTCTTGTCTGCTATAAAGTTTTCTAGCAATTCAAGATAAACATGAGTCGTTTCTCTTCTTCATCAACACCCTACAAAAGGTACGTACGTAGTCATGCATTATTTACTAAGATCACTAGTACGTATTTGTTGATTTATAAGCTATATTCATGAATATGATCAACATTCTTATCAAGTTATAAATTCTATATTGTCACGTTAAAGTAACGTAATATGTGAAGATACATTTCGTGATCTCAGGCTAGAAGGGAAGGTGGCAATTATCACCGGCGGTGCGAGCGGGATCGGAGCAAGCACGGCGCGTCTATTCCACGCAAACGGAGCGAAAGTCATCATCGCCGATATCCAAGACGAATTAGGCCGGTCCACGGCGGAGAAGCTCGGCGAAAACGCCTATTTTGTCCACTGCGACGTGTCGAAGGAGGACGACGTGCGCGACCTCGTCGACGCCGCCGTCGCGAGGCACGGGAAGCTCGACATAATGTACAACAACGCCGGGGTTCTAGACAAGCCCTTGGCGGGGATTCTGGAATCAACCAAGTCGGACTTGGACAAAGTGGTGAGCGTAAACGTAGTAGGCGCATTCCTCGGCGCCAAACACGCGGCGAGGGTCATGATCCCTCGCCGCAAGGGGTGCATCCTCTTCACGGCCAGCGCTTGCACGTCCATCGCGGGGCTCTCCAGCCACCCGTACACGGCGTCAAAGTACGCGATTTGGGGGCTGGCGAGGAACTTGGCGGCGGAGGTGGGGGAGTTCGGGGTGCGGGTGAACTGCGTGTCACCTTACGCCGTCTTGTCGACGGGCATGACGCCGATCAGCGGGGGAGCGGCGGAGGTGGCACAAATGGAGGAGATGGTGAGCGAAATTGGGAACCTTAAAGGGCATATCCTAAAGGCTGAAGATGTGGCAATGGCTGCCCTTTTTTTGGCTAGTGATGAGGCACACTATGTGAGTGGGCTTAACCTTTTGGTGGATGGTGGGTTTAGTGTTGTTAATCCTTCCCTTCCAAGGCCGAGCTTATAATCATAATTAATTACTAAGTTAAGTTTGTCTAATGGTAAAATATCGCTCTGTTTGATCCTAATAAAATGTATTTTCTATATGTAAAAGAATATCTTATGATATGTAAGTTTGCTTTATAAGGTAAGTGTGTTAATCTTGTACTTGTTCCTAATAAAATGAACTTTCATGTTAAGTAGGTCGATTGATTGCCTTTCTTTTTTTGCACCACTAGCTTTCTAAAGAAAAATGATCAGTGCTAAACAATAATTAATAACTAATAGAAGGTCGGGTTTCACATGTAAATTTCATACTGCAAGACTTTCTTTCTATTAGTATAGTTATATTTCTCTTTTAGGTTACGTGCTTTTAGATTGTGAATTCAAGGTTCCATATATATATACAAACATATTGGAAGCGTATGCAAAGCAATACTTAAATTCCATGATTACAACTGGTCCAAAATTTCTTTGCAATAGATTTACAGTATCGAAAATCACAATCATGAGGTTTGTGGTATGTGAATGTTATTTCGCACACTCATAATGTTTCCACAGTTTAAGAACCCACAAATAAACGTATATCAGACAGAGAAAGTTAAAAATCACAGGTATCAGAAAAACTAGTACAAAAAAAAAAGCCCTTCTTAAATATCAGTCGTCCTTGATAGAATTTTCTGGAACACTTTTTTTTGACGACACGTGTCGTCGCAAAAAAGTCGTTCTGAAAAGAATTTTCTAGAACCATTTTTTGCGACGACGTTTTGCATTGTCGTCACAAAACATAAAGAAATATCTGGAACCTATTCGCGGGAAAGCGCTAAATTTCCCGCCCCTTTTTTGCCACGTCACCACCAGCTATGACCATTACTATTTGCGACGACATGTCCTCACAAAAAATGTACAAACTGGAGCCAGATTAGTTTTGGCGCCAATGGGTAT